TGAGTTTTGCGCGGTTTTGCGCTATTTTTTTTGCGCAATTTGCGCAAAACCGGAAATATTTTTTGCGAAAGTTGGGCATGAAACAAAATTTTAGTTTTGCGCAATTTGCGCAAAACCGCAAGTTTTTCGCAAAATATAACTTTTTAGGCAAATTGTCAAAAATTGATATTCTAAGCTTAGAATTTAACAACTGGAGATTAATTCCATACATAAAAAAATATTAACATACGAGTATGAAAACGATTATACTACACTCAATTGGTTGCTTCCAGTAACAAAAAGTTTAAATTAAGGGACAAAAATTAATAAATTAGAAATTATAGAGAGTGTGAAACTTGGCAATATTTTAATCCTATTAAATAATTTCAAGTGACCCTTAAAAGCTTTGCCTAATCAAGTATGGATTATATTCTTAAATTTTTTTAATCAAATTTCTGAAATCTTTTTAATCTCATATAAAAATGCAAGAAAGTAACCAATGCCTGAAGAATCCACTTTTAGGAAATATGCATGTCCAAAACTAAAATTGTCGAGAAAATTGTGAGATTCATGAACTCTTCTTAACTGTCATTGGTCAATTATTTAAAAGTGACCAAAACAAGATTTTTTCAGAATTGAATTCTAAGAAAAACACACCGTCACCAACCGTTTTATATTTAGGAAATTGCGGAATTGCGCAAAACTTAAGTTTCGCAAAAGCGGAATAGGGCAATTTTGCGCGAAATGACTTTTGCGAATGATTGCGCAAATTGTTGTATTTTCACGCAAAACTGATGCGCAAAGAAAGAAAAATTTTGCGTTTCGTTCCGAAAAAATTGCGTAAAAGTTTTGCGAATGGAAACCCTAGTAATTTTCTTGTTTTACTAAGTACATCCTTATGCAGTCAAAACATAAACAAACAAAATGTGAACATAGCAGAAGCAACTTTTACAGATTACAGCTTTCTCAGTAGGTATCACTATACTCAATCAAAGAATTATTTAAAAAGACGATAACGAATTCGTCACTGAATCCCCATGTTTATTGGGACACCCTGTACTTCTACTTCCGGTCATTGGATTTCTTTAGGAAAATAATCACAGGAAGATGATTGCACAATTTGTGCAAAGAAATTCGCACAATTGTTTCAACCAAATTTTGCACCATTTTTTTGCACATACGTCATTATGGGAAATTTGCATATTTTCAATCAAGCCCCTAGAAAATGTCGTCTTAGATTTGATGTCTTTGAAAACACATTTTCCACTCCCATCTCCAGTTTGTAGTGGTTTGGGCATAAAAATGATCAAATTCTCTGTATAAAATTCCAGGAAAGGGGGCGGGTATAATCTTTTTTGGACGTCATTTGCTTCGTCAGCCGCCCCTCATTGCTGGATATTTGTTCTTATAAATCAATATAGTGTCTGCTTATTTTAAAGCACAAAAGGCTGCAAGCCTGCAATATATATAATTTCTGGATTTCGTTTCAAATAATAAAATTTTTTAGTTTTTCTATTAAATGCCACAAGAAGACAATTATAATTTCATTTTCTTAATGTCAAATTATGTTCATGTTTGATAAGACCTCAGTGATAGCCCTCACGAAGAGAATATCGCCAACTACTTCGTCAACATTTAAGTTGAAAAAACAAGAGCTATATCGTTCTAAAATTTCCAAGTCTAGGGCTATGAAAAAAAAAATTGAGTTAGAGCTGTTAAACCAAAGATCAAAGCATCGCGAAACTTGAAATTTAACCCAGTCTTTAAAATGTATGCAACTTTAACAACAGTCTGGATCTATGTTAGACGCACTGTATACTTAATATTTAACGCAATACATACGTGGTTCCGTACAAAGGGTGAGACTGCAAAGACGACCTAAAAATCTTAAAATATGACGATTCCAGGTTAGATTAAGTCTTCCGCCTTAAATATCGTATGGCTTATTTAATGATTTGGCAAAGAAACGAATTTACCACTCCTGTATGCCGAGTCTATTAGCGCCTGATCCAATCAGGGTTCAGTCATGTGTTTGTTGTCTATTCTGAACCAACAGAAATAGTATGGCGGTAACATATATCTTTCTATCTATCTCATTATCCAATAATCATTTCCAATTACTAAATCCTATAGTTTTATAGTTTTTTTTTAAGAAAACGTCCTGACTTTGTCTTTGACCCATGAACTTTTATACTCATCATTAAACAGTTCTTAAGAAAAAAGAAAAAATCCCGTTCAAACCTTTTGTATTAATTACAAGAAAAACTAATAAGAAAGAAGAACTACTAAGAAATAAAAAAAAGGGCTGTCCTTGTGATTTTAAGTTACCCTCCATTTAAAGGGGCATCTTACCCGATTTTCAAGAATGTGGAAGATATCGTCGTTTTTGTTTAATTCTGTTAATTTCTCCATTGTTTCTGAAGCAATGAATGCGCAATCGTTAAAACAAAGTGCTACTTAAAGGGAGTGACCGGCAATGTATGGTAATTGAACTGATAATGTAGCATTGTGGAGACATTTTTAGGATTCATTTGAGACATATAAAACGTTTAATGATGTAAAATTACTGAGTTCGAGCGCAAAGTCGACTTTCAAAATCATCTATTTGAGTGGTTACGCTTTGAGAATCGATTTTTTAAAAAATTATTATATAAAGACGACAAAAAATGTAAAAATTCTACATTAAACTATTTAGTTGTTTATGAAACAGGTTGAGAAAATACAAATTAACTCTTATCATCGAAAATAAGTAATCTTCTTCAGTTATTAGTTTCTGGAATTTTATTGAAATTCGTAAAGAATAAGAAATTCTATATGATGACGAAAAAGAAATAATTGATTCTAACATTAATTTATTGACAAATTTCTTTTGAGAAATATGTTCTCAGTCCAACTACCATACATTGCCGGTCACTTCCGTTAATGTGACCTATATCCGTTACGTTGATTTACACTTACCGTCCTCTAACAACCTTGATCAGTCAAATGTTTTTAAATCAGGCTCACCCCTCAACACATTTAGAGTTACCTGGATATAGGCATACAGTCCCTTTAATCTAAGTTTATTTTAGTATCTGAATTTACGCAGACAGTCCCTTTAATCTAAGTTTATTTTATTATCTGAATTTACGCAGACAGTCCCTTTAATCTAAGTTTATTTTATTATCTGAATTTACGCATACAGTTCCTTTAATCTAAGTATATTGTAGTATCTGAATATACGCATACAGTCCCTTTAATCTAAGTTTATTTTAGTATTTGTATTTACGCATACAGTCCCTTTAATCTAAGTATATTTTAGTATCTGAATATACGCATACAGTCCCTTTAATCTAAGCATATTTTAGTATCTGAATGTATGCATACAGTCTCTTTAATCTAAGTATATTTTAGTATCTGAATATACGCATACAGTCCCTTTAATCTAAGTATATTTTAGTATCTGAATATACGCATACAGTCCCTTTAATCTAAGTATATTTTAGTATCTGAATATACGCATACAGTCCCTTTAATCTAAGTTTATTTTAGTATCTAAATATAAAATCTAAGAAGATGCTGAGAGCTACAAGTTCTTTTCTGAAACACAGGTAAGGCCCTCCTTGACCCTTGAAAGAGTGGCTTCAATTTATAAAATATATTGTTTATTGTTACAGGATCCTCGACGAAAGTAAAGAAATTAAGTCTTTGATATAAACTCTGATTTTCTAATCCCTAATATCTTTGCAACCCAATGTCGTAGACCTTAGTTAGTTAAACCTATAGGAATTTGTTAGATCAGATACTCTAAGTTTGAAATATCAAAGATTTGCACCATCAGGCTGAACTGATCTGCGAATTTAAAAATTTGAGCTTGTAGTTCCTTTATTATAGTGCGGAGAAAATAATGTATAAAAGTTAATCATTTATCATTAATAGGCAATTTTAAACTGTCCTGGAAATCAATTTTGGAAAATGAATAAAGTGCATACCAGCAAATCTGAAAATTTAGATTAAAACATTGTTCCATTTTTAGTAATTTTTGCTTCAAAATACATTGAGAATGTTTGAATGCGTTTTTAAAGTACATTATTATAAAGACGATATTTAACAACAAATAATCACCAAAGAAATTTTGAAAATTGTATGTCTTACGTTTTTGAATTATATTTAAAACTAAAGCAAATATTTTTTCTTAAACAAACAATTAATGGGGTTTACAATGATAGCCAGAAAATTGTGGCATGAATGTCGTCTTCAAGCCTTCTTTAATTTGTGAATTTTCGCTATGGGTTAATCCAAACATTTTAATTGATGAAATAATATATTTATGAAAATTTTTATAAATTTGAAATCGTAAAAATTTTTTTAGGAGAATAATAATAATTTGTTTAGGATTGACGATTGTGAATTAATATTCTCTTTCTGGACATTAAACACAACTGTCCTACCATCCTCCCTAGCTCACTTCTCTAGAGATGTTTCCTTCGTTCAGGGTAATCTCAACACTATACAGGGATAACCAGAAAACAATGTACAATAGGAAGACGACTTTATAGCAATTCTTAAGTGTAATTGATACTGTTACCAAGCAAATGGTTTAACATATCATTAATTTAGTGAAATGGATCCATGTTTACACTAAACAATGACTCTTTCTATTGGGTCTATAAGTCGTCTTCCTATTTCAGAGTTTTCTGGTTATCACTACAGTTTTCAGTACCTTATTTTACCTTTTATTGCTTCATTGAAAACTGTCCTTATTAAACATAAACAATGTAAGGCTTTGCAGATTTATTTTTTTTTCATTCGTGGATTAAACTAATCTTTTAAAGATGATATTTCTTTTGGTGGGTAATTTTTGCAAATTCTAACTGTCCATAAATCATCCTTGCATAGAGTCTTATTAAATACTCATGTAAGGACCGACACAAAATATGCCTAATTAAGCCGTTTTGGCATTTATTCGATACAAGCAAACAGATATAACCAAGCCAAAAGATCAAAAATGTCTGATGAAGTTTTCTTTTACAGGATTAAAGATGTTACGATATATTGGCCCAACAGTACAAAGTGAAAACGAATTGAATACGCTGGTGGAACTCCATCCAGAGATTGAGGAAATACAGATCGGAAAGGGAGGATATGGTATTAGAAACAGTATATCCAATACATGCTTGAGTAGTCTACTCCGACTGCCTGAGCTGACCCAACTGGAGCTCTGGTATCCTGTTCTATCAGGAGATGGTGGTCTAAACATGTTGAGTGCTCCTAACCTACCTCTGAAATATATCGTCCTCAAGCACTGCAGGATAACCGATGAGTGTCTTAGTCTGCTCCTGGAGAAATGTGTTCATCTTGAGCACCTTGATATTCAAGGAACAAACGTTTCTGGAGAGAACTTAACTTTCTCTCAAGGAGTTCCACCAATTAAATATCTGAACCTTTCATGCTGTTTAAACCTCAGTGATTGTGGGCTTATAAACCTGGTGAAAATGCTGGGGTCTACGCTAGAACTCTTGAATATAGGACAAACTAAACTATCATTACAAAACCTAGACCTCGTCAAGAAACCATTGAAAATAAAAAGGTTACAATGTTGGCATTGTAACAATCTAAGAGATGAAGGTTTGAAACAGATAATTAAAAAACTAGGAAGCTCACTGCAGCAGCTAGATCTCAAACTGACTCTAATATCTGGAGAGTCGTTGAGAAGCCTAAAGGTTTCCATGCCATTGCTCCGTGACCTTAACTGCTTTGGATCCAGCTTATCTGACCCTGGTTTCCTCAACCTAATACGGTTAAGCGGACCCACATTGAAATCTCTGAATATAGGATACACTATGGTATCGGGAGAGTTACCTCTAGCCAATACTCTACCCTTGCTAGAGGTTCTAGACTGTAATGGATGTTGTAGACTCTCTCCTGAAGGTCTTGCTGAACTAGTGAATGCTTGTGGAGACAATTTGAAATCTGTAAATGTTGAATACTCCAAATTATTGAGGAGTAAGGAGCTTCAATATGCTGGCTAGAATCAGGAACTTCAATATGCAGGCTAGAAACCAGGAACTTCAACATGCAGGCTAGAAATCAGGAACTTCAATATGCTGGCTAGAATCAGGAACTTCAATATGCAAGCTAGAAATCAGGAACTTCAATATGCTGGCTAAAAAACAGGAACTTCAATATGCTGGCTAGAAATCAGGAACTTCAATATGCTGGCTAGAAATCAGGAACTTCAATATGCTGGCTAGAAATCAGGATCTTCAATATGATGGCTAGAAATCAGGAACTTGAATATGATGGCTAGAATTCAGTAACTTCAATATGCTGGCTAGAAATCAGGAAAACCAATATGCTGGCTATAAATCAGGAACTTCAATATGCTGGCTAGAAATCAGGAACTTCAATATACTGGCTAGAAATCAGGAACTTCAATATGCTGGCTAGAAATCAAGAACTTCAATATGCAGGCTAGAAATCAAGAACTTCAATATGCTGGCTAGAAATCAGGAACTTCAATATGCAGGCTAGAAATCAGGTACTTCAATATGCTGGCGAGAATTCAGGAACTTCAATATGCAGGCTAGAAATCAGGAACTTCAATATGCTGGCTAGAAATCAGGAGCTTCAATATGCAGGCTTGAAATCAGGAACTTCAATATGCTGGCTAGAAATCAGGAACTTCAATATGCTGACTAGAAATCAGGAACTTCAATATGCTGGCTAGAAATCAGGAACTTCAATATACTGGCTAGAAATCAGGAACTTCAATATGCTAGCTAGAAATCAGGAATTTATTTATGCAGGCTAGAAATCAGGAACTTCAATATGCTGGCTAGAAATCAGGAACTTCGATATACTGGCTAGAAATCAGGAACTTCAATATGCAGGCTAGAAATCAGGAACTTTAATATACTGACTAGAAATCAGGAACTTCAATATGCAGGCTAGAAATCAGGAAATTCAAGATGCTGGTTAGAAATCAGGAAATTCAAGATGCTGGCTAGAAATCAGGAACTTCAGTATGCTGGGTAGAAATCAGGAACTTCAATATGCTGGCTAGAAATCAGGAACTTCAATATGCAGGCTAGGACAGGAACAGGTCTGAATTTTAAACAAGATTTTGCACAGAATTAAAGTGACTTTTCCTTTGGCAGCCACTATGAGCCTTCCTTAATTTTCAATACAAAGTATTTCTGACGCAGAACATGCTGGAGTGAATACTGAATATAGCTTGTTCTGTTGTAATATTTGATCAGAGCAAAACATTTTATTGAACGTTTTTAAATTTAGATATTTTCATAAAAAAATAGTTCAGTAATAAACTATTACAAGTATTTTTATGTATTTTTAACGCAAAGTTTTTAACTTTAACCAGACATTAACTTTTTTTTAGGCCCTGCATAGAATTCTAGCCATTTATAAAAAAATAGTTCAGTAATAAACTATTACAAGTATTTTTATGTATTTTTAACGCAAAGTTTTTAACTTTAACCAGACATTAACTTTTATAAGGCCCTGCATTGAATTCTAGCCAATCGGTTCAGCCGTTTTGACATCTATTGGAAACAAACAATTTTGAAGTAAACATATATTTTCATAACTTTAAACTTATACAAATTTATTATTGATAATATTATTATATTAATGGTTAGTGGCTTATGACTTAGAATGATTGTCTTAATTTAATAGAGCTGTTTCTTCATTATGCAATTCTAATTAAAAATTTTATTGCACGCTTTTAATTCTTTTTTCTTTCTTATCGTTTTCAATTGTGGATTTCTACATCGAGTATTTTGGTCAAATTCCTTAACTTCACTTGTCGCAGGGGTCAATATAATTCCTTTTTCAATCCCATTTGGGATTGAAAAATTTGAAAGAAATGGGGCAAATTTTTTTAAATGATAATTTAATGACTTAGAATGATTGTCTTAATTTAATGAAAGCTGTTTCTTCATTATGCAATTCTGATTTAAAATTAAAACTGTAAGTTTTTATTGCACGCTTTTTATTCTTTAGTCTTTGTTATCGTTTTCAATTATGGATTTCTACATCGAATATTTTAGTCAAATTTCTTAACTTTACTAGTGCAGTAAACCCTCCCTGGGGCTGTATGTTATATGGAGAGGCCCAGCAACAAAATTTGGCCCGATCAGTTCAGCAGTTTTTATATTTGGATTTGATTTGAACAGATAAGCCAATATAGGAACTGAATAATTGTCACAAACTCTTATTTTCGAGATTTTTCTAAAAAGAGAATTAAGCATTAACTGTCTTTACCAGGATCCCAAAAATTCAGGAAAATATACGGGTTTTCTCAAGTACAGGGTGTCCCACGAAACATGACAGTTAGTAAATAGTTTTGAATGTCGTCTTCCATACACTGTATTAGATATTAAAGGCTGTCTGCAGTTTATTTCGTTTAAAAAATCTTTTGCTCAAATATATTTTACTTTGAAGTTAATTTTACTATAATATGACTCCTATATAATATTTTTATGGAAGAAGACATTCTAAACTATTTTCCAACTGTCATTTTTCGTGGGACACCCTGTAGCTCAGTATAATTTGGCCTGAATTCAAAACTTTTGATGATGACGTGTGACAACTGAAAAAAAAGTTTTTGATCCCTTCATTTATCCCAGGATACGATCATGGCGATCATATCCTGGGATAAATGAAGGGATATCTGGGAAGAATTTAATAAATTCGTATACGACATTGAGAATCAAGTTTTAACTTTAAAAAGTTCAATAACCATGAAAAACAGCAATTGTGCAGTGTAAACAGACCCATTTCACAAAAAAGTAGATTTATAAGTGTCTGGTAAACCTATTTGCCTTGTGACACTATCAAATACAAAGTATTGCTATAATGTCGTCTTCCTATTCCATTTTTTTCTGTTTATCAGTGTATATTTGAAAAGATAAAACAATATTTGCGCGTGCGCACATGAACCTTATCATACTAAAGATAAGAATGTATCTACAGAAATACTAACAAAATATATGTTCAGTTTAAACAAGGCGACATGCTGATTCATTTTTGTGGAATCAATAAAACTGTGAGTTCTAAACTTAGTTTAAAATGTGTAGTTTTGATTCTCATTGGTTTAGTTCTCCTCGTATTCGCATTTTCCCAGTGGACAGATGAAGAGTTTATAGAAGATGCGATAGATGCACCCGTTATAACTATTTCACCAGAAAATAGTATTTTTTCATTAATAAGTAGGTATCAAGTACTTAAACTAACTTTATACGTAATTTTAAGTAACTCTTAATTTATAAAGAGGGAAGTCCAATTCACAACACAACAGTTTTCTTTATTTATAGAGAGACAAGTCCAATTCACAACACAACAGTTTTCTTAATTTATAGAGAGACAAGTCCAATTCACAACACAACGGTTTTCTTTATTTATAGAGAGGGAAGTCCAATTCACAACACAACGGTTTTCATTATTTATAGAGAGGCAAGTCCAATTCACAACACAACGGTTTTCATTATTTATAGAGAGGCAAGTCCAATTCACAACACAACAGTTTTTTTTTTTATAGAGAGGCAAGTCCAATTCACAACACAACAGTTTTCTTTATTTATAGAGAGACAAGTCCAATTCACAACACAACGGTGTTCTTTATTTATAGAGAGGCAAGTCCTATTCACAAAACAACAGTTTTCATAATTTATAGAGAGGCAAGTCCAATTCACAAAACAACAGTATAGGCTTACGGCAATAAATGAATGATGGTGATCGCTACTAATCTTACTTCTATCTCGTGCGTCCATAAGAAGAAAATGGTTAAACACGACTCATACAGAAGAACGTAGCGTCCACACAAATTCAGAAAGTTCTAACATTCTACTTGGATCGTAAAAAAATCAATTTAATTCCAAACAAATCATTCAGATATTACAACATATAATCATCGATAGTTTTCGACGCATTCATATAAAGTTGATATTTCATAGTATTTGTATTTGTTTTTTATACAATGGACTTAAAACGCCGATTAGTTGGCCGCCAGGTGTCTCTGCTCTCGATGCTCTGAATGATTCCACGTTGCAGAGACACCTAGCCGGAAAAAATAGCCGTAATCCTACACCACCTTTCATTTTTCTCGAACGCTCCTTTTAATAATGATATTAAAAACACATTTCTACTTTATCTAAAAAAAACGAATTTCGTTTTTTCCCCCCAAACTAAATTTCTAATTTCTTGATTTTGCAGAACCTGAACGCGGATCTATTATAAGAGAGGCTAGAAAAGGTGAACTTGGTTCGAACGAGGAGAAACCAGCAAGAAATCGCAAAAAGTCAAATCGGATAAAAAAATCCCAAGATGCTGTAGAGCAGTCTGGTGGCCCTAGCGAGCATAATGAAGCAAAACCAAATGCAACTCAAGGGAAACCTTCTGAAATATAATTATCAAAAGAGAGAAAAAATATATTTTTTTAGAAGTAAAAATCTTAATATAATATACTAACTGCCTTTTGTTAATATATGGGAACATGTGTTTTTGGTCGAAATGTTAATTTATTAGTAAAAAAAACATGTCATCCTGAATAATGACACATATAGCCATACATAAATCTATTCTTTTGAAGTTTGGAACTGATATTAACGAAACTATATTATACAGTAAAAACCAGAAAACTTTGGAATAAGTAACCGACTTTTAGACTCAAGTTATGACTTTAAATCGGCGCTAAGCTACATTTTACCTTGTTCAGTTTTGCTTAAGTAACATTTTGCCTTGGTAACTTTTTACCTACTTCAAGTTTGCCTGGTAACAGTTTGCCTGGAGTAACAATTTGCCGAGGTAACACAAGAGCATGTTTTTTGCCCATTACTTTTTTTCAAACAAATTATGTCAAAAATATTTAATTTTTAAAGCTGAACCAGCTAAATTTAAATGAATTAAATGTTATAGGACAATTAGATTGTACCTTGGTTAGCACTTTTAACAATCCAAATACCAGGACTCTAACCCTATAAATTTTATAAAGTTATAAATTTTAAAATTACAGTTTACATCATGGAGCAAGGGTTTGGCATGATATGTAATGGAAGGAAACTGAAGGATTTTCAAAAAGTTGCAGAGTTTTGATGACAAATTCGCGGATTTTTGAAAATTTACTTGTATAAAATTTATTGACTAGGCAAAAAATTCTCTCTTATAAAACGAATATGTTACCTAGGCAAGCCGTTATCTAGGCAAATTGTTACCTTGGCAAACTGTTAGCAGGCAATATGTGACTAGGCAAAACTGTGACTTGGAAAAATCTAACTAGGCAAAATGTAGTTGAGTGCTTTAAATTATTATTGGGACAAAATTATGACATTATATTGAGATGAGATTTTTACAATTTTTCACAATTCCTCACGGACGTTAATTACTTCTTTTCTTTTTAAACGTCATGCACACATTAATGCATAGATATGAATTTTGCCATTTTTAAAACTAAATAAATAGCATGTACATGTCGAGGGCTGCATAAAAGGATAATCTAGTTGGTCAATCAAAGTCCAGAGCATTGTGACACTTTAAAGTCAACCCAGTCTTGAAAGTGAATGTATCTTTTCATGGCAATCTTAAGCATCAGGCATATTCATAAATGTTCATGTACTAATCCTGTATTCGGGTTGTAACGAAACATTGATTAATGCAACCTTTTTTTTCTTCAAAATTGATATAGCAATTTTTAAATGTTTTTGTATTTATTCATGGAGTTATAAAGAATTTAGGAGTTTTGAAATTTTGAAATTTTCCAGTTTTGAAATTTCGAAGTTTTCCGGTTTTAAAGTTTTTAAATGTTGAAGTTTTCAAGTGTTTAAGTGTTGAAGTGTTGAAGTGTTGAAGTGTTGAAGTGTTGAAGTGTTGAAGTGTTGAAGTGTTGAAGTGAGATTTAAGCCGGCGCTCAATTGAAACCGTTTTTTTTCGGATTTGAGACGCAGCTCAAATTCATTAAATTTGGACTCGGATAAAATTGCCTTTCTCATGCTTTTGCATAAAAATTCAAACTAGAGAAGCAACGAATCACAAACTTGTATAAGCAATGCTCCATCAATTTGAACTTCTACTTTATGATTAGTTTACAGTGCAGAGATGAGATTTTAAAACCTTATACCTGAGTAAAACCCTGTCTTTGCCTCTGCTTAGACCCGGGTTTTGGATGCCCTTGAGTTTAGTAAAAACCAACCATCTTGGGTTTTTTTTCTATTTAAGGTTTGAGTCTTCATGGCAGCTGATGATCACGAATTTCATAAAAGTGAGAATGCTTGCTAAACAGCCTCTCATTGGTCGAATCAGAACCAATCCTGACTTGGGTTCTATCTAATCACGAGTTTGGGTTTAACTCGGGTTTAAGCTTTTATAATCTCATCTCAGTTTTATTAAGGGTGCCTTTTTAAACCGCACAATCTATACAGATTGAGGATTAAGTGAAACCCTTCTCCAATCCCTTTAATAAGAAAAAATAACCCAGCAAGAAAAAATACAAAGAACGGAGAACAAAAGGTGCACCGTTAATCATGTCGTGGAGTTTGGAGGTCCGTTACAACTCCTCTTTTTGGGCTCTGTTACAACTCCTCTTTTGGAGCTCCGTTACAACACCCCACCCCCCATGATGTTGCTCCTTTCCCCCCTCCTCTTGCTGCTACACACTACACCCCCCTTAGTCTTAGAGAATTTATAAAAAGATAAAAACTTTAATTATGAGGTTAATGTATACAAATTAATACACTCTAATCTCAGCATTATTAAGGCAGAGAAGCGATAACATTTATCCTGGCAAATAAGCAGTAACTAGTAACTAATAAGTAATTAAGACAAATATTGTCAATTTGATAAAAAAATAAAGTATTGCTTTAGTTTAAAAAAGGGTAAATATAAGTTTATTGCATTCAAATATACATATACTAAAGACATATTTAAGGTAGTTAAACTGTTACCCTAAAACCGGCCCATTTAATTCAACCAATTAGATGAAAAGAAAGTGTAGGGCGGGGGGTGGGAGGCAGAACATACATATGTTTTAGTTAATAGATAGATAGAATGATTGATAATCTAGATAGATAGATATATTATACAAAAACAAATCTATCTATCTATCTTTTAACTATCAATTAATCAATGTTGCATTTATACATACAATACATAATTCTAAACATGATCTATACAATATTCTTAACATATCTACTAGTGAAAGGCCAATTTATACATGGTTACAATTATAAACAACAGATATCATAGAATTTAATCAGGGATATTTTCACATGTGGAATAATGACAGCTGTTGACTGTTATGAGGGTTAAAGTTGAAGATTGATGATTAAAGCTAATCAGCCAAATCATGGAAAGTTCTTTAAGATTATTATATATATAAAGAACATCCCATGACTTAAAAAATTTCGCAATTGTTACAGGTCAGGCTGATCTCATCATGTAGAAACTTTCTGACACAAATCGTGTAGCATGCTTGCACCTTGAAGAATTGATTCAAACTGACTAAGATTTGACAAATGAGCACGCTTTTCTGCGGGCCCTCATTTTTTATCATCATTTATATATAACTCATGTACAAAAATACATGTTGTCTTATCATTTGACTTTCTGAAACTGGCAGTTGAAACCCCGCTGTTCCTGTCCCACAACCATGTCACATGATTAGCTCTCCTTAAAAGAAATTCCGAAGGAGCTCCTTTTTTGGAGAACTCTCCTCAAACAGATGGAATGGGGAGGATTCTCCACAAGAGGAGGAAATGAGGAGAACCATCCGTTTTTGGTGGAAGAAATGAGTACTCCACTTGCGAAGTAACTGCGGAGCTCTCCTCAAAAGGAATTCCTCTGGAATTCCGTTTTTGGTTGACTCCACAAGAGGAAGATATGAGGAGGATTCTCCATTTTCGGAGGATAAAAGGAGTCCTCCAGTTGAGAAGGACAAGGGGAATGCGGAGTAGGTTTTCTTGCTGGGTTAAGCTTTTTCTTTTAAAAATTCTAATAAACGTTTTGCCTGAAGTTTTATTTTTAGGATTTTCTTTCAAAGTTATTAACAGAAGGACTGCCAGAAGAACACTGCGTGGCTAAGTGTATGCAGTATTTACTAGGTGATTTTAACCTCTAATTTAATATGTTAATTTCTAGTAATACAGGGTGTAAGAAGTAAAACCTTATCTGTGCAAAAACACACATTTTTTCTCTAACATTCGAAAATGTTGATTAAATATATAAATTAAATAAAGTTTATAAATTGATTTTAATAAGTGTTATCTTACTAAAGTAAACTTAAAACTATGCTTTTAAATTGGTTATGACGTCTCTCTTTTCCACAGTTTTAATTTAGTTTAGGATTTATTACACCCTTTCCTTTTTAGCTTTTAAAATTGATTTTAATAAGTGTTATCTCACTAAAGTAAACTTAAAACTATGCTTTTAAATAGGCTAATGACGTCTCTCTTTTCCACAGTTTTAATTTAGTTTAGGATTTATTACACCCTTTCCTTTTTAGCTTTTTTTCTGCTTTTTCATCATTAAAAATCTTAAATGAAAAATAATGAAGATGGGATTATTTCAATCAACTCTAATGTTAAGCTAAGTCAAATATGTTTATGTATGAATTTTAAGATTTTAAAATTTTTTAAATGTATTTTTTAATTTTGAAGATATTTTTGTAAATTCTAGATTCATCTGCGTCTTCCAAAACTTTATGTGGTTTAAATGCAGAATCCCGAGGTAACTTGTTAAAGACTCTTGGAAAAGAATGCAAAAGCTAGGTTTGAAGTAAGATATATCAAACTATGATTTCTCATAGATCAAATAATGTAAGTTTGAAATATCAAAGGTTATAAAGATAAAGGGATTAGAAAAATTGAGTTAATGACAAAGACTCAATTCCTGGAAATGGTTAATATATTTTACTCCCCTTTTAAGAAAATAGCAAATCTTATATAAATCCGATTGCTTTTAATACTTCAAACTTTGAGAATGTTACTTATGCAAAACAAATTTAGGAGAAAACCAGAAAATAATCTCCTTCTCTTTTTACGGGGAGTTAAAATCTGCTTACTATAATGGTATTAAGGAAAACCTCAACTCTATAACCTCCCACTTGGCTACGCTTTCATAATTTGGTATTTTAAAGAAGTTGTAAACCAGTTGCAAGTTGGCCACAGAATGGTTTGGTTCTCTCTACAGTGCTCCACTCTGTATATTGGGAGAGCCCTTTGTAGAATTAACATGACTCACCCTATTAGCAAACAGAGGAACTAAGTATATGCCAGAGTTTGGGTTTCTCATAGCTTCTTTCCCCTCGCTCTTACCAGAAACAAGAAAAATGGAATGTAAAATGTAAAATCCTGATAGCTGTGAGTATGCACAATGATACTAGTTTTTATCCGGCCAGCTATTTAGAATGGACTGCTTTCAACATTGGCCACATTCTGAGGTGCAAAACTAGGACTCCCCATTTAGAATTTGCAGTGCAATTTCAGATTCTTCATACACTGGGAATCCGTATAAAACAAAGGAGAGATAGGATATTCACAAACATCCCTTGATACCAATCCTCCCAAACACTCCTTAGTTCTTTTCCTTTTATTGTTCCACCAGAACCACTAGGAGTGGCCCCAAAATGGAGAAAATGAACAGAAAACAAGAAGAAAACAATAAGAGAAAAAAGTGGATAGGGATGCCTCCCTTCCCTTTCATCCTCGTTAGAGAAAGTTACATGTGGATACCAAGAATAGTTATCAGCAATGCACCTTGTAACAATACACCAAATAACTGTAAACACTATAAAGAGTTTAGAAAAAAAGAAACCTGGGCCTCTTGGTTGGAGGTTAGTTCTGAAACTCACAAGCTTGGCAAGCACAAGGGTAGGGCTGGGCAAAGTTCTGTCAATTGAACTAAAAAACGAAAGTGTCCGTTAAGGAATGCCAAAATCCGTTAAATTTCAAAATGTTAATGGAACAGATTGGCTGTTTTTGAAAAAAAAATTAAACTGCTAAAAACAAAAAAGGAAAGGATTTTTTTTCAACGGTGAATTTTGTTATTTTTTTTTCAATCTTAAATTGCCTTTAATTTAAAAATAGTTTAACATGTTTTGAAGGTTTTAAATGTCCTCTTCTGTATTCAAAATCTGGATTCTCCTCAGAATAAGATAAATATAGTTGATTTAGATATCAGTCCTCAGAGAAGGATAAATATAGTTAAACTGCTAGTGCCGTTAATACTTCAAATACCGTTAACAGCTGCACCGTTAACAATTTCATGAAATGTCAACAAATATAGTTAAACTGCTATTACTGTTGATACTGTAGTAGACCGTTAAAGGCTCCACTGTTAACGATTTCTTAACGGTAAAGGATTTCTTAACTGTTAACAGCTGCGCCGTTAATGATTTATTTAACCCTGTATCTCATTGTTTTGAAAACAAAAAAACAATAGTTTTTGGATTTGAAACAACCGCTTTCTGGTTTTAAAAGAAATTGAAAACTCTGCATAGCACTCGTTTAAAAATTTGAGGCTCTCATCATCTCATTAGAAAAAAATACTAAAACCGTTCATTTTGTCCAGGATGGATTTATGCTCTGTGTTGAATATTCCCCCCTATGGGAATATATCTGGTAAGTTCGGAATGGTTTGGAGGTTTCTACCGATGGCGGACCCATTCGTGGACTTTATGGTTTCAAGAGATTTGGACTCTAGGTATAATATATCATTCATATATTAATACATTTTTTATATTTAAACACAATATGTAAAGGGTGTACATTAAAAAAGGTTCAAACATAGCATTTCTTCTGTAATTTCATGAAATCTACCAAAATTGATCTTAAAATTAACAAAATCATCAACAGGCACATAAGGAAGAAGTTTGCGTTGATCATAGATGGGTTTTATATAGAAACTAGGATTACAGGGTGCTTCGCGCCCATCTTCTATTCCAATTGTGGACATTTTCCTTTTGTACACATTGCAAAACAAAAACTAAAAAAATTACGCGGTTTTTAAAAAAAAATATTTTGGATTTTCAAAATTTTCACAATCTAATTTTGTTGGAGGTTAATTTTTGAAATGTTGATCATCCATAAACCTTCCCTGGGGTCATGTGAGATCCCACACAAAATTTTGGCCTGATGGGTTCAGGTGGTTTTGGCGTTTATTGGATAAAAACTGTCCAGCTAGCTGGCAGCTGCAATTTGCAACAGATGACCCAAAATAACCAATAAATCATTTTCAAATCCGATTGTTTTTGCATGAATTAGTTTTATTATAACCCTTGTTAGGTAAATTTGAAATCACAAACTTGTATTGCTAATTTTGAGAGCTCTAGAATGTAAGTGGGAACCTTTTTATGTACACCCTTTAAGATCATAAAACTGAGTTTCATTGTGTTTAAAATTACTTGGATAATAATTGCAAATACGTTATTAAAATTAGTTAAATTAAAACATAAATGATCTCTTTCTTTCGTTCGAAAAAATCAAAGATTTAAAAATCATGATTCCACATTTACGTAGGTTTATTACTATATCCTAGATCATCAGATAATCAATACTTTTAAAAGCTATTCGAAATCTTGTTAAATAAGAAAAATATCAAATAAATTTCTTTTTAAATGTGATCGAGTTACAACTTGATGTATGGATCATTGGTTTATGATATTCACTTCAAGATAAAAGAAATCATTTTTGATTTTTGAACATTTATTAGTGACATTATTGCCAAAGTTTAGTGTAAAACAAAAAATAAACGAATTATTTTAATATTTGCTGTTCAATACATTTTTTGTTAATGTAATTGCCTATATGTAACGATGTTCATATAACTTCTAAACTTTTAAAAGGCACCCCACAAATACTGTGAACTTGTAAAGTTTTAATGTTTTAAAACTGAATTCTGTAGAATTTAGCTTTATTCGAACTATCCAAATTTTTATCCAAGAATAACATATGGAAAAAACAAACCAAGAAAATGGTTCGCTGTTAGCATGTTAGCATTTTCTCCCAATGTCAAAATTTGGCTTTAAATCAAAAGGAAAGCAAATGTTTAAACTAAACAATTTTCAAGTTTGCGAAACTTTTTAAATGCTAAATATTTTTTTAAAATGAAGCTTTTGTTCATCACTATATACTGTATGTAGTAAAAATTGTAAATCTTAGGTTTTCAGAGCGAGAGAAAGCTGCTGTGGATGATTGGATTAGTTCAGGAACATTTTCAAAATAAAAAAATAAAAAAATTGACGCAATTTTAAGTCACTTGTCTGGTCAGATTATCAGCAGTACCCTGTAAACATCTATGTTAAATTCTCAAAACTTTATTTATTGTCGCTGCGGCATAAATCCGTATGTAAATTTGTATGAAAATAACCACAAATAGAAGTAATTAATTTTTCGGAAGGAAGAGAAGCATTAATGACACATTAATCCCGGATCTGGCAAAAGTTGAAAAGGGGCACCACTGTGCAGATCAAACACCCCGCTCTTTTGAAATCTTTACCTCTGCAGTCTACAATCAACTAAGTTTTTTTTTTAACTTTTACCAATTTCATTCTACAATAATATCAGCCCCCCTGCATCNATGGCAGTGCAGTATCACTATCATGTCTACTGTCTGTATCATATGATCAGATTGCTGCATTGATATTTGTTCTGGTCACATGATACGGACTTATAAATAATATTATTAATTATATCTTTTATAAATGAAAAATTACTAAATTCTAACAATAAAAGAAGCAAACCTAAGTTTCTTAGGCTCCTCTGGAATATCCTCGTTTTTAAAATGGTTGAGTATTTTCTGAATATGATCCCTTTAAGCTTACTATTTTTATAAAAAAAATTTATATTAATCAATTATTGTATGAATTTGACACAGTTTTAAATCAATTTCTCAAAACAGCAATATTAAATAAAACTCTCATGCAGGTCTGGATCAACTTCTAAAATGCTTATGTTTTATGCAAATACCCCCTTTCATTTTTCCTTTACAGTCCCTGTAAAGTGACATTTTTTAGTCAACAAATTTATTTTACCTAAAATTGATTGCCCTTACAGGAATATTATCCTGGTTGGATCATGAGACTATACCTGGATCCAACTAATCTTAATCTTAATGCCTCACATGATCTTTGTGCTCTGTCTTGTAAAAGCAACAGGTAATATCCTCAAATAAAGAAATTCAAGAAATATTACAAATGCAATATTTTAATTTCCAAAAAGACAAACTCCAAAAGTGCAAATTACACAAGATATGCAAATTACACAAGATAATCATGGTTCAAAGCTGACAACTTTAGAATAGTGGATATTGAGATCAATGCTTGATCCTGTCTTTTTGCTAATCTGAAAACTAATTTAGTCTACAGACTAATATCTAAAGATACACTTTTAACTTTTGGAAAACTAGTTTTAAATTTTCCCACATTTGTGGTGTCATATCAAATGTACTAATGATCAGCTGAACAAATGTAAGTTTTAGATTATGTCCAAAAGGACTATAGTCATTAAATGTAATAAAATAAACAGCTGACTTTAATTCAATCCGATATTAGTCCAATCAATAAAACATCTGTTTTTGTATACAAACATATCCTTATTACATGTAGATGGAAGTGGGATATCCAACTTGAGTGGATTAAAAATAAAATTGGAAGTTTCCACAGTAGACATTCAGATTAAGAGATCAGGATTGAGGATACCCAATTCTAAAGTTTTCAGCTCAGGATGAAATCAGTTTAGGCAGTTTCGATAAAAATGCAGATAAAGGCCAGCAAACAGAAAAAAATTGATTCAAGTTTTGGATTAAGGGTGTGCCCCAAATAATATTGCTTTTGACATTCCATTTTGCTTAAATTTGTTTTTGTGTAAATGATCTGATCTTAGATGGGAACTCTTGTGTTGTAGACATTGAGATTAATGCTTGAACTCAATCTTTTGATAATCTTCAAATTTATTTAATATCTATTTGATATCTGATATGGTAATAGTACCCAGTCATGGGTTGAAGGAAGCTTTGATCATGGGTTGAAAAAGCTTTGATTATTCAATTGGGATTATGAGTATCCAACACAATAGTTCTTAAATATGCTGGTTTCCATTTATGTGCAGGATGGATTTATGTTCTGTACTGAGTGTTCCTCCCTATGGGAATATATCCAGCAAGTTTGGAATGATCTGGCGGTTTTTACCCTTGGCAGATCCATTTGTGGATTTTATGGTTTCAAGAGATTTGGACTCTAGGTACACATCATTAGGGTCTCCAATCGAAATTTTGTAGCACACAATTGTGCACAACTGTTTTCATATTGCAGAGAACATTGGGAAATTGTGCAGCTTTACAAAGAAATAACAGGGCATGCAATTGCGTTGAAGGAAAATGCTCTTTCATTGGACACCCAACACAACAAAAGATCCTAAAAGTTACATGTCTAGTACAAATACTACTAAAGAATTATGCAATTTTGAAAAGCATCTTTAGGCTGGATATTATGATGAAATAAAATAATTTATTAATCAAAGGACAATGTTTTTTAATGGAATAATGATTAACTTCAGCGAATTCAATTTGATATTCATTGCACAAAACTATTACATTTAGGGATTAAGCACTTAAACCCTTTTTCACCTAACGTCCATAATTGGCTTTATGCTAATATACCGGTGTTTCCTCAATATTTGGTGCCAGTAATGCAAGAATTAATAATCATTTGACAAATCATATTTCTTTCTAAATTCAGTACTTTATGAGGTTTTTGCATTAAACAATAACACATATTCATAACTTTATTTCAATTAATTATAAATCCAACAATGCAGGGGAAATTAGTTCCAAAACTAACACTTGGCCCACACTGTAAATATTAAAACGTAATAAAAAATAAGAATTTTTGGAAAAGCGAATCACAGAGGTTTTTTTTAATAAATTATCTCTAAATTATGAATATTTTGAAAATGGCAAAAATAAAAAAAACCATATTTTTATTATTTTTATAAGAAAAACTGAATGCAGAACAATATTTTTAAAACTGTTAATAATGCAAGTCATTATTATTAAAAAAAGTGGTCAAATGCAGAAACTTATATTCAGAATTTCTGGAATAATTATTCCGTTTTTTTTGATAATTTGCAAAAACTTTCAATTAGTTAAACACATATCAAGTTAATTAAATATAAACACAAACAGAAAAAAACAAATTGGTAATTAAAAAAGATTTATTGAATAAGTACGTAAACAGTACAAAATAGCATTTAGACTTTCTAAAAAACTTAATAAAAGGAAAAAATATTTTTAGTTTTCAAATAAACATAATTTTTGAATATTATATTAAAAAAATTAAATTAAGAAACAAATTTTAAAAAATGTTGCTGATGTTTATTTACAATGCATTTCTAACACTGAGTGTTAGAAATGGGCCAAATCTGAAAAGTTATCTTTTTCTAGAGTATATATTTTTAAATCCAATAAGAGTAGAACAAAATTACACCATATATTTCTCAAAAATGGCTAAAACTATATATTCAAACAATAAATGTCAATTTTAAACTATTAATAAGGTGTGAGAATTAGTTTTTGATAATTCTTGATTTCATTTTCAAACATATCCCTATTTTGTAACAATTACCGAATTTAAGCTCATGTCAAGTTTTCAGAACATATTCTAGTTTTGAGATACCTGGCACGATATGAGACCATTGATCTTATTTATTAATTTAATTAGTGCTAATATTAACATACAAATGTTAATGCGAATTGATATTAACATAGAAATTATCATTTAGGTATATTTAATATATTGACAACCATAAACTTTAATGAATTGTTTAAAGTCAATGTTAATGTTAATGTTAATATTAACATTATATCCTGACAACCATAAACTTTAATAAATTGTTTAAAGTCAATGTTAATGTTAATGTTTATATTAACATTATATACTGACAACCATAAACTTTAATGAATTGTTTAAAGTCAATTTTATTGTTAATGTTAATGTTAACATTATATACTGAAAACCACAACTTTAAAAAATTGTTTAAACTCAATGTTAATGTTAACTTTCTATACTGACAACTATAAACTTTAATGAATTGATTAAAGTCAATGTTAATGTTAATGTTAATGTTAACTTAATATACTGACATCCTTATACTTAAATGAATGATTTAAGCTCAATGATAATTTTTATGTTGTAGTATTTAAAGCATGGATTACTTATACCATCAGACTCATCAAAATCATCCAGGGATTCCCTTCCGTGATATCTGGAACTACATCTATGGGGCTGTACTGGACCGTTGGGTCTACTTACAGATTGTAACAGTTCCAGCCAGTCCAACCCTTTACAAAGATGTGCCAGATGAAACCCTAGATACCTGAGCTGGTCCTATTGACAGGGACACTGGAGCTATAGAGCAACTCACATATCCAGGGCAACCAAGTCCAACCACAGTTCAGATAATTTAACTACAGGTCTGAGCTAACTCTCCAGATGTTTCTAGGGACAGAAACATTGGAGACACAGGGGGACCAGAATATACGGATATAATAGAACTAGACTGTCTAGCTAATATATCAGGAGCTGCTCCATGCTCTACTTTACAGAGGATTCTATACAAGAGCCTGATTTTGTTCTGGGATTGAGCAGCTAGAATACCAGTATAGATCAATGACTCCAAGAGAAGAGGACATCTCGAGGATCTATGAGGACAAGATCAATCATCCTCCAGATATGAATGAGATAATCCAGGATACTATATGCAACATCATCCTGGGATTGGAGAGGTTGCTCTTTGTAGACAGCTCTTCACATATCTGGAGCAGCTAGATGATCCAGTCAGGAATAGAAGATCCACTCAATCTCATCCAGAAATTTTATATCCTTTAGTTCTGGGACTGGACCAATTGATCTTGTACCAGCCCGTTTAAAATACTATAAGAATATAGGAGATAACTAGGATATCCAGGAATAAGGATATCAGGAACTAGAATATCCAAGATACAGATATGAACTAGAAGCTCTAGGATACCGTGGGGAACTAAGGATATCAGGAACTAGAATATCCAGGATACAGAGAGAAACTAGAAGCTCTAGGATATCAAGGGGAACTAAGGATATCAGGAACTAGAATATCCAGGATACAGAGAGAAACTAGAAGCTCTAGGATACCAAGGAGTACTAAGGATATCAGGAACCAGAATATCCAGGATACAGAGGGAGACCAGGAGCTCTAGGATACCAAGGGGAACTTCAATATCATGAGCTAGGATATCATTAACTAGGATATCACGAACTAGGATAAAGTGAATAAAGCATGGTGTGAAGATTAGATGAATCATCCGATGCAAAAATTCTCAACCCTTTGTCTGAGTTACAGTTATAAGAGAACCTGGAGAATAGGATCAATGTACCCAGAACCCTAGAACTGAATAGACATTGAGTAAGCTCTGTTTATTCCATCAAAGGTATGGGGACTTACACTCCATTGAATGCTAAAATAACACTCACAGATAACTGATAAGAGGTAAAGGATAATTTGGATACTTTGAATATTAGAGTATATTGTGGATACTGGAGATCAACCGAGATGCAGAGCATCCTACAGATCATGGAGACATAGAAGCAGATGGGAGATCAACCAAGATGCAGAGCATCCTACAGATCACGGAGACATAGAGAAGATGGGAGATCAACCCAGATGCAGAGCATCCTACAGATCACATAGATATAGAACAGATGGGAGATCAACCGAGAAGCAGAGCATCCTACAGATCACGGAGACATAGAGCAGATGGGAGATAAACCAAGATGCAGAGCATCCTACAGATCACAGAGATATAGAGCAGATGGGAGATCAACCAAGATGCAGAGCATCCTACAGATCATGGAGACATAGAAGCAGATGGGAGATCAATCAAGATGCAGAGCATCCTACAGATCACGGAGACATAGAGAAGATGGGAGATCAACCCAGATGCAGAGCATCCTACAGATCACGGAGATATAGAACAGATGGGAGATCAACCAAAAAGCAGAGCATCCTACAGATCACAGAGACATAGAGCAGATGGGAGATCAACCGAGATGCAGAGCTTCCTACAGATCATGGAGATATAGAACAGATGGGAGATCAACCAAGATGCAGAGCATCCTACAGATCCTAGAGATGTAGAGCAGATTGGAGATCAACCAAGATGCAGAGCATCCTACAGATCACAGAGATATAGATCAGACTGGGGATCAACAGAGATGCAGGGCAGACTAAAGATGATGGGGGATAATGCAAATATCAAGGATGCTGTAGATACTGTGGGCACTGCAGATGTGGAGGATACTGCAGATAGGAAGGATACTGCAGATACCATAGATGTTGCAGATACTGTGGAGACTGTAGAAACTGTGGAGACTAGAGATCTAGAGCAGATGAATAGAGAACTAGGATGATCATAAATCACTAGTTATATTAACTACAGGAGTGTTTCAAGGAGATGATCATAGATCTGCGGCAGATTGATAGACAATGGGGATGATCAAAAATCACCAGTTATATTTACTACAGATGAACTACTGAGGGACTCTTTAGCCCTATGGAATATGATCTAGCAAGGAGAAAACTAAGATCGATCAGGAGATCACCAGCTATATGATCTATAGAAGGATTAACTGGGACCACATCTAACACATCAGGGAGCAGGTCGAGCTAGGTTGGATGAACTTAACCGACCTTAAACAACCTTAGGCAATGTTGATTAAGATCATTTAGGTTGAGCTAGGTTGGATGACCGTAACCGACCTTAAACAACCTTTATCTATATGGTCATTTTTGGTCAGGTTAGGTCATTTTAGGTGGCATCATTTTGCAAGGTCATTCTTAGGTAAATTTAGGTTATTAGATTTATTTTATAACGATTTAAGATTATTTAATTTTTTTTTACATTTTTTTAAAAATCTACAAATTGTATTATTGACACCACTTGATTCCAATTGACACATAAGACATAGTTAATTCTCAACCCCCCCCCCCCCTTCCTTCCCTGTAAAATTTTGTAATATTTTGTGCAAAATTGTTTGACATGATTTTTTTCGTTCAAGAAACGAGAAAAATATTTTTTTTTCAATTAAAATAAAGAATGAAAATCCCTGGATTCTAAGAAACTGGTCAGGTAGCCAGCCACCCCGCAAACGGCTGACCTAAACCGACCTTAAATATAAGTTGTTTTGGGTCTAAATTAGGTCGAGCTA